TCAGCCTCCTCCTCTCAGCCCGCCATCACAGGCACCATTAATTGCTGTCATTTGAGGGTGGCCTGTGGGGAGAAGGAGGGAGGAGGAGCAGGAGGAGGGGCGCGGAGCGGGAAGGAAGGGGGAGGAGGGGGAGGGAAGGAAGGGATTGCAGGGAGCCCCCAGTTGGGCGGGAGGAGGATGGCAGACAGGGAGGGGCGGGGGGGGCTCCACTGCTCTCCCCCCAACCCAAGCAGGGCCCAGGACCCCGTCCAACTGGGCATAAGGCCAGTCCTCCCAGAGTCCCTGAGGGGCAAGATCCTACCGTGCCAGGGCCCTGAAACCGCCACACACACACCTTCAGTGTCCCTGATCACCCCCCAGGGTACCCCGAGACCCCAGCCCCCACCCACGCTGACCTCTTACCCCAATGTGCAGATACCAACCTTCCCAGCCCACTCCCTGGCTGAAGGACCCACTCACAGAGGTTAAAGTCACGGGCAAACCCGACTTCGGGGCCAGGGGCTCTGGCAGCCCCGCTTCTGAGGTCCTAGGTCAGCAGGGAAGAGCGTGCGGCTGGGAGCCCGGGGCCAAGCCCTCCCTCTGCTGCTGCCCCATCTCATCCTGTGCCTCAGTTTCCTCATCTGGAGAATGGGGGTAAGGAGGGTGCCCCCCTTTAGGGTCACTCTGAGATTTTAAGAAGAATTCTACAAAGTGCTTAACCCGGGGGGTGGGGGACCTACGTGCACGCAGAGCGCCGGCCCACATCTGTCCCCCATCCCCGCCATTTCCCGTTCCACCCCCATCACGTTTCTTCCTCAGAAAAGGCTGCACCCCCACCACCCCCTCCAATGTGAAAAGTCCCAGAGGGGCCCCACAGAGCTGTCACACAGGCGCCACGGGGCTGGGTGTCCAGGCAGGAGTCCTCTGCCAGGGAGCACAGGGCATCTGCCTGCCTTCGCGTGCCCACAGCCCCTCCCACTCGCCCCTGCCGGCCCCAGACAGGCCCTGTCTGTGGGCTGAGGAGCCACTGTGGCCCTGGCAGAGGGCTCCGGGGAGCATCAGTTCCCCTCGGCAGGGGGAGGAGGGCCCTCCACCGTCTGTCTGCCTTCCCGGCCACCCTCAGATGTGATGGATCGTCCCGGCGGAGGAAGCTAAGTGCTTGCAGACAAAAAGCCCTTTTATCGTCCTCGGGTGGGCCACTGGCATGACAAGCAGATAACTCAGCCACAGGAGGAAGGCTCCCCATTAGGCTGGAGACGGAGACGCCGATGGATGGGCGCGGAGAGTCAGAGGAGGAGGAGGCCGGAAAAGCAGCCCAGCCAAGGCCAAGGCCGATTTCCTTCCAGCTTCGAAGGCCCCATGAGCCCAGGCAGAAAGCCCTGCTGAGCGGTCACCTGGTGGGGGCCGCCACCATCCCACTCCACCTTCCCTCTCACTCTCCAAGATAAAACTTGGTTGTGGGGCCAAGGCCCAGCCCCAGAAAGCAGCTGACCTGCAGGGCTGACCTCTCGCCCTGCCTGTGGGGTCCCCCAAAGGCACAGGACAAAGGAAAGTGGCCTCCCTTGGGAAACCTTCCCCCCGCCCACAGGTAACTCAGAATCCTGCAACCCAGAAGGCCCAAGCCCAGCAGCCTCAGGACCTTGGCGCCGCTGTTCCCTCGACCTGGGTTGCCCTTTCCCCAGATACCCACACACTCCCCCAGATACCCACACGCTCCCCCAGATACCCACACACTCCCCAGACACCCACACACTCCCCCAGACACCCACACACTCCCCAGACACCCACACGCTCCCCCAGACACCCACACGCTCCCCCAGACACCCACACGCTCCCCCAGACACCCACACGCTCCCCAGACACCCACACGCTCCCCCAGACACCCACACGCTCCCCCAGACACCCACACGCTCCCCCAGACACCCACACGCTCCCCCAGACACCCACACGCTCCCCCAGATACCCACACGCTCCCCAGATACCCACACGCTCCCCCAGATACCCACACGCTCCCCCAGATACCCACACGCTCCCCCAGATACCCACACGCTCCCCCAGATACCCACACGCTCCCCCAGATACCCACACGCTCCCCAGATACCCACACGCTCTCCCAGATACCCACACGCTCCCCCAGATACCCACACGCTCCCCCAGATACCCACACGCTCCCCAGATACACACACGCTCCCCCAGATACACACGCTCCCCAGATACACACACACTCCCCAGATACCCACACGCTCCCCCAGATACCCACACGCTCCCCAGATACCCACACGCTCCCCCAGATACCCACACGCTCCCCCAGACACCCACACGCTCCCCAGACACCCACACGCTCCCCCAGACACCCACACGCTCCCCAGACACCCACACGCTCCCCCAGACACCCACACGCTCCCCCAGACACCCACACGCTCCCCCAGACACCCACACGCTCCCCCAGACACCCACACGCTCCCCCAGATACCCACACGCTCCCCCAGATACCCACACGCTCCCCCAGATACCCACACGCTCCCCCAGATACCCACACGCTCCCCAGATACCCACACGCTCCCCCAGATACCCACACGCTCCCCCAGATACCCACACGCTCCCCCAGATACCCACACGCTCCCCCAGATACCCACACGCTCCCCCAGACACCCACACGCTCCCCAGATACCCACACGCTCCCCCAGATACCCACACGCTCCCCCAGATACCCACACGCTCCCCCAGATACCCACACGCTCCCCAGATACCCACACGCTCCCCCAGATACCCACACGCTCCCCCAGATACCCACACGCTCCCCCAGATACCCACACGCTCCCCCAGATACCCACACGCTCCCCCAGACACCCACACGCTCCCCAGATACCCACACGCTCCCCCAGATACCCACACGCTCCCCCGGACACCCACACGCTCCTTTCCTCCCCTCCTTCAGGTTCCTGCTCCAAGGCCACCTTCTCAGGGAGGCCCACCCCGACCCCCGCTTTGAAACTGCAACCCCCACCCGCCCGTACCCTCCACTGAGAGACCCACTAAGGGTCGGACCCGGTCACCTTTGGCCAGGTCTGTCTCCCCACAGGGAGGACGAGGTCCTGGGCCATCTTGCCCACAGGTCTGTCCCCAGCGCCCACAGCAGAGCCCGGCACACAGTAGGTGCTTTAAAAAGAGTCGGTGCACACATGAACACATATATAGGCACGCGCCGCTGAACCATGGTTCCGTTCTGGGGAGCGCAGGGCCAGCGGAGGCGTGGCTGTGTGAGCTTGGCCGGGATGGACTTTCACAAGCCTTGACCACCGCGCCAGCTGATCACCAGGCTGTGTGCTGTCACCCAGGCTGGGCCAACCCTGGCCCAGGACAGCTTTGAATATGGCCCAACACACGTTCGTCAACTTTCTTAAAATGTTATGAGACCCTTTTGAGAATTTTTTCTTTTTTAGCTCATCAGCTACCTATCATTAATGTTAGTGTATTATCTGTGTGGCCCGAGACAATTCTTCCAATGTGGCCTGGAGAAGCCACAAGATTGGACACCCCCGGTGTGGCCTATGGCTCCCAGGCTACCACCTGTACAGTGTGTGGTTGAATCCCACAGGCCACTGGAACCCCGTGGCACACCGTGTATCCAAACATAGAAAAGGAACAGTAAAAACATAATACTGTCCGGGTGAGGTGGCTCACGCCTGTAATCCCAGCACTTTGAGAGGCCAAGGCGGGTGGATCACTTGAAGTCAGGGGTTCAAGACCAGCCTGGCCAATATGGCAAAACTCATCCTCTACTAAAAATACAAAAATTAGCCATGTATGGTGGTGCACACCTGTAATCCCAGCTACTGAGGAGGCTGAGGCAGGAGAATAGCTTGAACCCGGGAGGTGGAGGTTGCAGTGAGCCAAGATCGTGCCACTGCACTCCAGCCTAGGCAACAGAGCAAGATTCTATCTCAAAAAAAAAATGTGGTATTATAATCTTATGGGGCCGCAGTCCACTGCTGACGGAAATGTCATTATATAGCGCGTTACCGTATTTGGAACAGGAATGAAATCTCCCACCAGCGGTCCGGCCTGAGCCAGATTACACTAAGCACCCACTGTGTGCCCCAGCCTCCGTGTGCATGAGCCCCGTGACGCCCTCAGCAACCGTCTGTCTGCCTGGCTGTGGAATGAGCACTCCGGGACAAACCCGCTGGGTTCCCTGGGAAGGGTGAGAAGGGATTCTCTGCTTCCAGCTGAAAGATCTGGGCCAGGTGACCAACCCGTGCCTCAGTTTCCCCACTTGTAAAACGGGGCTAACTGCCCATTCTGGAGTGTTGCTGTGAGGTCACACAATGGGGTGACGTCTCAAAAGCAAGACCTGTGATTACAACTCGCCAAGCACTGCCCTCTGCCAGCATTCATCAGCACAGCAACCCTACAAGGGGAAAGTGTTATTACCCACGCAGCCCCACCCCCGTCTACAGATGGAGAGACAGAGACACAGAGATCAAGCAGCCCGGCCCCAGTGCCCAGCACAGAGGTAGCAGTGGCGAGACCAGGACCCAGGCCAGCTCTTTGCCTGCGGGGCACAGGGACCACAGTGGTGACTCAGCCTGAGGGCTTCCTCCCACATCCAACACCCGAACACCTGGGCCCAGCCACAGGCCCCACCCTGGCCAAACCTGCAAGCCCTCTGCCAGTGCACAAAAGCAATGTGCCCGGGAACCCTGGAGCCCAGGGAAACCCACCCCCAACACTGACGCCGTCAGGGACCCTCCTATCTCTCAGGCATCATCAAAAAGTCACTGCAACAGCTCAGCCAGGAAACAGGCCATGCCTGGGGGACCCCGCAAACTGCCCCAGCTGCTCGATGCCCTGGACAGCTCTGATGAGACAGACCCTCATGCCCCTGAGGCCATGCCTTGCCCCAACCACACACAACAGGCCGAACCCGGCTCCCAGCCATTCCAGACCCGCTTCCCCTGAGATGGTCCAGGCAGGACGAACCTCCTGGCGACACCAAGAGGAGTCAGACATGAACCTACCAGAAACTGCCTCCAGCGAGGCTGTGTCCTCAAAGACTCTCGGGGAGACCTGCGGAGAAAACATGGGTCTCGTTACCAGGCATCGCACGCATGGGGCTTGGGAAGACAGCGTCGACGTTCGGGGAAAGGGGACCATGCTACCATCGGGGCCCACACGTCACCAACGCCGGGCCCAGTATTTCCCCATGATAACCCTGGAGGCAGCTCCTGCTACCTATCTGACAGAGAGGGAGACTGAGGCTCAGACAAGCAAATCTCATGCCCAAGTTCTTAGAGCTGTGATTCAATCCCAGAGGTGTGGATTGTAACACCACCCAGGGGCCCAGGGCCGCATCGCCAGGCCACTGGGAAACTCCCCGTTAACGCCCCAGAGGACCCCACGAACAGGCGGGTGGGCTGAAACCTGAAGGATGGAGCGGGGGCGGGGGGTGTCTACTACTCTCATGAAAGAATTTTTGTTTGGTTGGTATTTTGGAGTTTTTGTTTTTGTTTTTTGGAGACAGTCTTGCTCTGTCACTCAGGCTGGGGTGCAGTGGTACAATCATGGCTCCTGCAGCCTCAACCTAAGGTATCCTCCCACCTCAGCCTCCTGAGTAGCTGGGACTACAAGCACGTGCCACCATGCCTGGTTAATTTTTGTATTTTTTGCAGAGACAGAGTCTCACCATGTTGCCAGGCTGGTCTCCAACTCCTGGGCTCAAGTGATCCTCCTGCCTTGGCCTCCCAAAGTGCTGAGATTACAGGTGTGAGCCATTGTGCCCAGCCTCATTTAAGAATTTCTGAGTTACCACTGCAATGCAGCGACAGCTCCAGAATGCAGAGGGGACACCCACAAATCAATATGGGCCCATCAACCCAGCAGCAAACAAACAAAAGACGACATAGACACTTCACAAAAGAGTATCTACAAACTGCCCAAGAGACACAAAAAGATGCCCAGTATCATCAGTCCTTAAGAGAGGCCAATTAAAACCACGGAAGACCACGCTCGCCCAGGCAGATGGCAACCTGAGACAGACAGCGTCACGTGCCAGCGAGAAGGAGCACCCGGAACCCTCACCCCCTGCGATGCGACGCAAATGGAGCAACTACTTTGCAAAAACAGTTTGGCCGATTCTCACAGTTAAACACATGCCTGCCACATAACCCAGTAATTCAGCTCCTAGGTCTTCACCAGGCAGACACGAAAACAGCCACAGACTCGTGCACGAGTGTTCACTGCAGCTCTATTCAGAATCGCAGAAACACTGGAAACAACCCGCCCGTCCATCGGCAGACGATCGGACCGACAAACGGCGGCACATCCCAGCCACGCGATCGCGAGGAACGACGTGCAGAAACTCAAACCACAGGGAGGAACGTGAGGCTCGGGCCGTGTCCAGGAAGCCAGATTCGGACCTGCGGACTCTAGGTTTCCATGAGAGGACTCTGGGGAAGACAAAACCACCTTCCCATCTGGCAAGAGGCCCGCAGAGGCCGTCAAAGGCCACAGAAAGACCGTGATTCCCACGGAAGGGAGGATGCTGACCACCTCTGGAGAGAAGGCGGCCCGAGGCTAGAAGGGGACCCCTTTGTAACTGTTGACTACTTGCACCGAGGGGTTTCCATTCTTTCTCGTGTGAACTTCAACGTGAAAAAGAACAGGGACACGACAGTCCAGCGGGCTGAGCACTGGACAGGGTCAGTCTCACGTGGAACTCTGGGAAACCCCTTCTCCACCCCGAGCCGGAGCGGAGGGATGGGGACTGGGGCGGCCAGGGCTGCCGGCTGCTACACGGCTGGGGGCTCCCCAGGCTCCAGTCTGGCCTCTGCCCCTCCTAGCTGTGCAACCTGGAGCGAGCAGCTTCACCTCTCTGAGCCTCAGATTCCCCGACTCTAAAACGGAAACGATGATTTTAAAAACACTGACCCCACAGGAATGCCTTGAACGTCAAGTGCCCTCAGCGCCAGTGTGTGCCACTTCCAGTGCTCAGGTCTTGCTGGGCATGACTCCTACCCCCACCCAGGGGCTGGCAGCCAAGCTCCGAAAGGCCAGCCCTCTCTAGCTCCTGGCAGGCCCTCTCAGGCCCCAAGGAGGGAGCCTTTGAAGGGGCAGCTGCGGGCAGCTCGCAGGAGGACAAGCCAGCTGCTTCTTTCCTGCCCTTTTTTCTTTTTAAAGCATTTTTTTCACTACGATGCCCCCGGGCTTGGCACTTGGTCATGCCATCTGCGTCAGCTCCAAAATCAGGCCCTGCGGGAAGGCTGGAAACAGGGAGGGTCTGGGCACATTTTCACAGCCGCCTGCCCCGGCTCCCGGAAGCCTCAGTGGCCAGCCACCTGCACACACCCCGTCACGGGCTCGAGCAGAGCCAGGCCTGGCGGGCGCTCTCCCCGGGCACCAAGAAGATCCTGACCTCCACCTGGGAGGGCCGGCTGGGAGATCAGACCCCATCTTCTCCTAACCTGCTCCCCCCAGCCAGCTCAGCCTACAATCCCCAAAGTGCCGGGTGTCCTGGTGGCTGTGGTCAGGGCAGGTGAGGACTGTTCTCAAGGTCACATTGTCCAGGGAATCTCCCAGCAGTGATAGAGTGACACATAGGTCCAAAGAAGGGTTCCCAATTTAGAAAACTCGGCGGGACTTCCCACGAGAGGCAACTGTCACGCTGGCCGGACTCCAGGGCAATGACTGAGGGGCCAAGGGGCAGCGGGCGCTGGGCTGAGGTGGGAGGGAGCCCAGGGCCCTGGCTGGAGCACAGAGACAGGGAGAGCGGGTGGCTGCAGGCAGCCGGGCAGATCACGAGGGCTGCTGCAGACGGGTTTTATCACCAGAGCAAGGAGCCTTAGCAGGGTTATGCGGGCTGCAGGTGGCCACGGTCCCGCTCCACGGCGGAGGTGCACCCGGCCGTACAGCACGGGCGAGGGCGGAAGCCACAGCCAAGGGAGAGGCCACTTCGCCAGTCCAGGCGAGCGAGGTGCTGGGCGGCCAGGCTGGGCGCAGTGAGGTGGGAAGGGCCGACCGGAACAGCATCAGGCACTGGAGTCCGAAAGGTGGGCAAGGCACGCTGACAATCAGAGGCCGGCTCCTTTCCGATCCTGGGCAGAGCCGGCGGGGGAGGGAAGCAGGGGGTGACAACATCCACTCCCTGTAAGGAGCGCAGCCATCCCGGGTCCCTGGCCAGGAAGCGACTGCTGTGAGGGAGGACTCACCCAAGGCCACAAAGCAAGGAAGGGACTGAGCGGGGATCCAAACCCAGGGCCAAGTGCGTGCACCATGGGGAGCGAGGGCACAGGGCACAGCGCTGCCCGCAAGCGGCCGAGGCGTGCGCAGTATGGACCACAACGTGGACCGGGCCCTATGCCTCCCTGGCAGAGCCACCCATGCCAAGGCTTCCTGGCTCGGCGTCGCCAAGCTCAGCCCTGCAGCACAGTCTCACACTGGCACGGTCCTCACTGTCTCAAGCATGCTGACGCGGTCTCACGGTCTCACTCACGCACACTGGCGTGGTCTCACTGTCTCACTCGCGCTGGCGCGGTCTCACTGTCTCACTCACGCACACTGGCGTGGTCTGTCTCATTCGCGCTGGCGCGGTCTCACTGTCTCACGCACACTGGCGCGGTCTCACTGTCTCACTCGCACTGGTGCGGTTTCACTGTCTCACTCGCACACACTGGCACGGTCTCACTGTCTCGCTCGCACTGGCGCGATCTCACTGTCTCACTCGCGCACACTGGCGCGGTCTCACTGTCTCGTGCTGGCGCGGTCTCACTGTCTCACGGTGGCACAGTCTCACTGTCTCACTCGCGCACACTGGCGCAGTCTCACTGTCTCGCGCTGGCGTGGTCTCACTGTCTCACTCGCACACACTGGCACGGTCTCACTGTCTCACGCTGGCGCGGTCTCACTGTCTCACTCGCGCACACTGGCGCAGTCTGTCTCGTGCTGGCGCGGTCTCACTGTCTCACACTGGCGCGGTCTCACTGTCTCACTCGCACACACTGGCGCGGTCTCACTGTCTCGCTCGCGCTGGCCAGGTCTGTCTCGCTCGCACTGGCGCCGTCTCACTGTCTCACGCGCGCTGGCACGATCTCACTGTCTCGCTCGCGCTGGCGCGGTCTCACTGTCTCACTCGCGCACACTGGCACGGTCTCACTCGTGCACGCTGGCGCGGTCTCACTGTCTCACTCGCGCACGCTGGCGCGGTCTCACTGTCTCACTCGTGCACGCTGGCGCGGTCTCACTGTCTCACTCGCGCTGGCGCGGTCTCACTGTCTCGCCCTGGCGCGGTCTCACTCTTGATCACGCTGGCGCAGTCTCACTCTCTCACTCGTGCATGCTGGCGCGGTCTGTCTCGCTCGCGCTGGCGCAGTCTCACTGTCTCACTCGCGCACACTGGCACGGTCTCACTGTCTCACTCGTGCACGCTGGCGCGGTCTCACTGTCTCACTTGTGCACGCTGGCGCGGTCTGTCTCGCTCGCGCTGGCACAGTCTCACTGTCTCACTCGCACACACTGGCACAGTCTCACTGTCTCGCTTGCCCTGGCGCAGTCTCACTGTCTCGCTCGCGCACACTGGCTAGGTCTCACTGTCTCGCTCACACTGGTACAGTCTCACTGTCTCACGGTGGCACGGTCTCACTGTCTCACTCGCGCACACTGGCGCAGTCTCACTGTCTCATGCTGGCGCGGTCTCACTGTCTCACACTTGCACGGTCTCACTGTCTCACTCGCACACACTGGCGCAGTCTCACTGTCTCACTCGCGCTGGCGCAGTCTCACTGTCTTGCTCGCGCTGGCGCCGTCTCACTGTCTCGCACGCGCAGGCACGGTCTCACTGTCTCGATCGCGCTGGCGTGGTCTCACTGTGTCACTCACTCTGGCACAGTCTGTCTCACGCACGCACACTGACCCGGTCCCACTGTCTCACTCACGCTGGCGCGGTCTGTCTCGCTCGCGCTGGCGCGGTCTCACTGTCTCACACACGCTGGCGCGGTCTCACTGTCTCGCTTGCGCTGGTGCGGTCTGTCTCACTCGCGCACACTGGCGCGGTCCCACTGTCTCACTCGTGCACG